ATGTTGAGTCAATTTAAATACATTGAGCAGCAATAAAATATCTGAAAAACTGTAAATATAATTAGAACATCAGCCCCAGAAAGTGTACAAAAGTTTTGAGGTAAGAGGAATACTCAGAAGGTTTGAACTGTGAAGTGCACTGTAAACCTGAGTTTGAAAGTGTTTAGTGGCTTGAACTCGTCTGCACTTCTTCGGCTTCTCCTTCTTCTCAGCCACTCCTTTTCCCTTTGAGAGTACTGAGAGCCGGTCTAATAGCACCTCGCCTTGGGCTTGTGACTGTGCACTCCAGGAAATTAGGGAATTGGGGCTCTCAAGGTCCTGGACTGGCTATTGAGGTGTAGCTGTGGTCTTCAGCCCAGCATCCTTGATTCTCCTTCCCTCCCCTCCTCTCTCTTTCTCTCTCAACACTTCAATATCATCCTCAAGCATCTAATTCAAGTATATTTCAAGTTTCTGAGCTCTTTAGAGCCTCAGAATTGGCTAGAATGTTCAGGTAAGCTTGTGTGCCTGAAAACCAACATGACTACCTCCTCCCTCTCCTCCACCTCTCCCCCTCTCTCTACCATCCCAATTCATATCTAACATCTCATTCCTATCCATATACTTCATTTCTAGAAAGTTTGGTTCAATTTGGACCATGGGTTGGCCCTGGGCAGCAAAATGGCATGTGGCCCATCCTACCCTCTTCCAATTTCGCTTTTTTCTCTTTTCTGGAGATGATGCAGAGTTCTCTGATGGATTGGAAAGGACCTGATAGGTGAGTACTAATGTTTCTAGCTTTAATTTCGCTTCTGAAAGCCCCAGAAGTTGTGTTACAGGTCCATGTTGGTGCCACATCACCCCTACCCTCCCTCACCTCCTCCCCATCCATCCAGCCCTTCCACTAACCCAAACAACTTTTGTGCCATCATTCCCAGACTCCCTCTATACTATCCAGCTGTCCTCATCCCTCTCCCTCCACTGGTTCACTCACAATAGCCTACTGCCCTGCCAGCCTCCCAAGCCCAACACTCAGCCCAGCTCTTCCTAGCCCTCTGGCTCGGGTTTTTTGTGTTTGGAAAGTATCTATGGACCTATATGAGTTTGGCCATGGTGAGATTTCGCTTATTTATCCATTCATTCCTTTCCTATGGCCACCTTCTCCTCCTACCCCTTCCCACCTCCTCCTACCCCTCTAAAGTAGCAGGAACCTTTGATCCTGCTCTCTTTTCTATCTGTATACTTCCCTAGCCTATCTATCTACATGAAAGATCCCTCTCTGTCCCTATTCCTGTACTGTAGAGTTTTCTAGAGCCTGTATTTTGTAATTAGAGTAAAAATGCGAAATATATTCGAGTTCTACCCTTTTCTGTAGTTTTCCTGGTGTGATCAGAGGTTGTATGAGTAAGGTATAGGTATATGAAGCTCAACAGCTCATATCTGAGATGGTCCAGCTGCAAAACAAGTGCAGGACCTGGGGGAAAGTAGGGCCACACCAGGGCCACAAAATACGAAAAAATCGAGATAAATTAGTACAGGCTATAGATTAGGGTCTAATAAAATTCTATTTAGTAGATTTATACTGTAGATACATGTACTATATACATAGTCAGGTCAGAACTGATAATATGCTGAGGGAGGAGGGAGGGTAGGGCTGAGCTACAAGGGCTAGTGCCATACTATAGGCCAAGGCCGAACAGGAAACCCAAGTCTAGGGCAAGAAAAGCCGAAAAGGCAAGCCCATTAATAATAAATGATGGGCAAGCGTCCAGATTAGGAGAAACCAAGATCATCAGACAGGTCCGACGGCTTCCCTGGCTGAGTAAGCAGAAGAAGCAAGGAAGCACTGCCAGGTAACAACGGAGGGACTCCGCTGGAATTACAATGTGATGGACGGGACTTCTGGCTTCACATTGTAATGCCCCTGCACGTTCTGGTGTATCAGATGATGATAGAAAGATCATCACCATTGAGGTTCAGCTGGATAAGAGGGATCGGGATGAGAAGCATGGTTGGACTATCGCCCAGCCAGGGATGGAGCCGACTAGAAGAAGCTCTAGGATCATTATCGAGATCTCTTTCCGAAGCAGGGATCATTAGGGGAATGTATTGAGGCTCTATAATGCGCTGGCTTCCCTTAGCAATGATGTGGGTGAGTGTCTTTTCAGTCCGGTTGCGCGAAAAATGCTGTCCCTGACCAATCTCCTTAGGCATAACCGCCCCGCGAACAAGCCGATCCATACATGATGCCTGGAAAAACTTAATGCGAGTACACCGAAGTCTCGCAGAACGCCGCCGTGTTCATGAACTTCATGAGCTCTATTAAATGGACGATGTGGGTCGACATGTG